CTCCCTCACAGGGATTCCATGGACCTGGTAGCTATGTGCCCAGCAGCCGCTGCTGCTGAAGAGAGCCTCATCCGAGAGGAGAAGAAGCACAGTGTTGACGATGTCAAGGCTTTGCTGTTGGGCGTCGCCGTGAGTTCTTTAGAGTAGTTGTCGTGCGTGTATCACTTAAGTTTGTAGGTTCTTCCCATGCTGTGTTGGCTTGTGGGCAATTTCTCATTTGATAGTTTTGTACCCAACTGGAGACACATCTTTTTGCGCAGTAAAATTTTAGTGAACAGCTCTTTGTTCTTGCCCCTGTCTCGCGCTCTTGCAAGGCAGACTTCCAGCGCAACACAATCTTCAAGGTGTTGAAGAACGATGTTGACAAGGAAGGGGAGAGTGTGGGGTACAAGGGTGAGGCGCGCAAGACCCCTCTTCTAGATCAACCATCGTCAGCTGTGAGTGCGATGTCGGAAGCGTTGGAGAAGAAGTTCAAATCCCCTGAGATTGGCATTCAAACGGTTCTCTGGTAGTTTGCATTGGGAAGTTGTTCACTTCTTACTTCCTGCTCCAAGTTGTTGTTCCCCAAAAGCCTCACAAACCTGTTTTCCAGTAAACCAACCTCCTTTTCTACACAGTCACATCCAAGGCTAAGGGCATGAAGAGGTTCAAGGAGGATTCTGCTGCTGCTTCATTGGGTTCGAAGGGTGGCGGTGAGCCCAAGTCTGAAGAGCCTACCAAGAAAAAGCCCAAGTCAGCGTCGCCCAAACCACCTCTTAAACCACCTCTTGAAGATGGGATGTTCAAAACCTACAACTTGCGTGAGCTTGAAGTGCCACAGAGTGCATGGCCCCAAGCCTCCCGACCTCATCTTGGGGCCCATGGTTACACGGTGGTGGCAGCAAATGGAGCAGTCGTTTGCCCCAAAAAATCAGAGTGTACTCCTTTTAAATGAACACTGTTGTTTAAGTCCACTTCAAATCAGCCCTTCCCACAACAAGTTGTTTTGGTCCTGAGGCCATCGAAGTTCTCCTTCGCACCCAAGCATACGTGGTCAAGCGCATTGCTCCTGGAGGTGGAGAGGAGTGCAAAGCGGGTCAAATTAGTTGGAAGAAATGTGGAGGGGCTTTCAAAGCGTGGGGGATGGCAAAAGCGGGGGCCAATTGGCCTTCAGCCTGACCGTCGCTTCTTTCGGGGTTTGCTCTGCACAGTTGTGCCAGAGTGTTTTGGGGTTTTGTCAACACTTCTTGACAACCAGAAGTGAGAGCCCTTGCCTTCTCGGGGTACTGCAGCGATCGAAGTTTCGTGTGTCCAACCCACAAGGTTTTTGAACCTAGACTGCAATGGTGCTATTTGTTTGTTACTTGGCTTGGTAGCTGCCGCCTGAAAGCGCAGGGAAAAGATCCTAGTAGGCCATCGATGCCATCGATCATATCCGCTGAGTTCACAAGCCGTCAGAAAAAAAGGTCCTCCAAGCGAAGATCAAAGCTGGCTGCAGCAAGCGGTTGCAGAGTGGCCACCAAATACCAAAGTTTCCTTGGATGTCACGCTGTGCGATGGCCTCCAACCTAATAGCGGTGGCCTCCAGCCCAACTAGCAATAATGGCCTCCAACCTAGTAGCGATGGCCCCCCAGCCTACTAACAACGGCCTCCAACCTACCAGCGATGGCCTCCAACTAGTGATGGCCTCCGACCTAATAGCAATGCCCTCCAACCTACTAGCAATGGCCTCCAACGGAGGTGCTCGCCCGGCTCCCTTCTCAAGATCTCTACTTCCAAGGCTGGGGTTTGCGCTCGTGATGAATGTGTCTCAATATTCTTTGAGGTTCTACAAGCACAGTGAGCTTGGAAGCCTATCATTTGTGCGTTCGTGATGAAAATGTTAGATAATGTTAGATATTCCATGAGATTCCGCACAACCACAAAAACACAATGTGCCTTCTCACAACCACCAAAACACAATGAGCTTCGGGAGCTTCATCGGTTTTACGTCTGTGATGAACAGACTATGCGCAGTCACCAAAACATCATGAGCTTGAAACATCATGTTTCGATATACTTAAGTGAGATTATTCGCACTCACCAAAAACAATGACCTTGAACGTTTCAATCGTTTCTTCTTCCCACCATTTCCCACCGGTTTCGGTGACCTAGTGACCAGTGGCGGCTCCAAGGCTCCAAGAATCCATCTTCTATAGCCTGCGCAAGTGAGCGAAGGCCAGGGACCGAGGGGGCCTTCTTCAGAAGACCAAACCAAGTAGTGACCACCAGTGGCTGGTGATGCGTTTCAATCCGAAAATGCTTGGCTCAAACTCAAACCAGTGGTTTTGTTGAGGTCAAGTCTGGAGGCTTACTCTGGTATCATGACCAAGGGAGGAGGGGTTGCTGCCAGGGTGAAGGCTTCGAGAGCCAAGATGCCTTTCCCTGCTGAAGCCCCTACCACTATCCCGTTGTCTTGGAAGCAAAAGCAGCGGGTGTGCGTCAACGCTGGCCTTCGCTGCATGAATGCGCCAATGGCCAGGGTTGCCAAAAACCTAGGTGGCGGTGGTGGTGGCGGTGGATGATCCGGTCTATAGTTGCTGGTTTTAATCGAATGTTGTTGGATGAGCGTAAAGGACATATGAAATTCGCTATCCCCTTGGCAGGTGTTGCTGTCTCTTTGCAGCATGGTGTTTTCGCTCCCGCATTTGAAGTGGGATGAGCCTATAGATCACTTGGAGCTCTTCGCGGGGGTGTGCAGCATCAGCCGCGGTGAGTGGGAGGATTTTGGGGGTCTCCTTAGGTCAAAGTCGTCTTCATAAATGGGTCACCTATTTCTTTTAAAAAAGGGAACCCTTTTTAAGCGAGGATCCTTCTTGTAAGCTATCCTTGTTGGTTTTCATAGAAGCCCTTTCCTCAACACAATATCAGCCTTTGCGTCCCCCTGTATAGGAGAGACGTTCTGCGATCGCCATGGACTTGAAGTTTGGCGCAGAGCAGGACATACTGTCAAACGTTGGCTTCTGCAACATGGTTTACCAAGTGCTGAACTTGCGCCCGGGTGCTGCCATGTGGGCAGCGCCAGTTTGTTCGACTTGGATCTATTTGAGCTTAGGATGAGCACAGGAACCTTTGTCATGTTTCACTTGAGGGCTCATTGTCTATAGGACATTTTGGCACTTGTTTGTTGGTTGATCGTTTGCTTGGATTGGAGCTTCCACCTCTCCACCTTTCTTGAAATGGCTAAGGTCTAGAGGCTCCACTCATCGATCGACGACCAATCCAATGGGTTCCAACACCGGGGTCACGGGCCTGCACAACTTGATGGTGGGGCGTGTGGTTGTGCTCCTTACACTAGCGGTGGCAAAAGGTGTATGGTGGCGGCTTGAACAGCCAAGGGGGAGCCTACTGGAGGGGCACTTGCTCTTCCAAGCCATGCTTCGGCTCCTGCATGTCCACGTCACACGAATCTCGACTTCCCTTTGCTGGTTTGGATCGGACACGACTAAGCCTTTGTGGATCTATTCCAGTAGCCTGATTTGCATTTGCCTGTGCTAGTTTCCAATCTGGCCCCACAACCTCACACACGTCACAAAAAACAATTGTTTAGTAAGATCTACCTGAGGATATGGGGGTCAGATTGGGAACCTTCCCAAAATAGAATAGCATCTGCCTGTTCACTTCTCATTCGTGTCATGTCAACCTAATATAGAAAACGGTGAGTAGAACAAACATAAGGCTTTATGGGGTGGAAGATTGTGGTAGGTCATGGAGTCATGGAGGATGCTCTTCCCATTCTTGTGACAGCCAAATATCTTTTATTCAGACAAGCTTTCCCGAGGTAAGCCAGAGGCTGTGGATTTCAACGACTTTGCGGACAGGACCTTGAAGCCGCCCAACAAGAAGAAGCTGGTGGTCAAGTACAAAGACTCCAAGGGCAAGAACAGAATCAAAGGAAGTGGCGCCCTAAAAGCGAGCGAAGCCTATCCACGAATGTGTTTTGGATAAATCTCAGAAATACTTTTCGGTTCATTGGGTCTGGGATTCATGGGGTCTGGCAGTGGGTCGTGGTACCAGCTCACCCACCAGCCACCCCTTCTTGACTCAAACCTTTCCGATCGCCCCCCCTCCCAATCCCACATGATGCCCAGGCTCGGAAAAGGAGTGGCTCGCGTCACCACCAGGTATCGAATGCGGCACCACCGGGAAGCGCGGCAGTTCCTGCGTGCAGCGCTGAGGGATGACAGGGCTGCTGCAGAAAGCAGTTCTAGGGTCAACAAGTTCTGGGTTGACCAGGCCAACCTGACACCTGTGCTGGCATACTTAGGCCAGCAGTAGCTCACCTATGACCTATGCTCCCATTTAATTTGACAGGTCGTTGTGGAATAGCCGCAACACCAACAGTGCAGCATTGAAATCACAATTAGCTGCTAGTTAGCTGTGGTGGGACAGTGAAGCCGGGAACAAAGAATTCGTCCTTCATTCTGCAGAAGCGGGTTGGCCATGGCCAAACAAACGACCCCCCAATGCTCCTCCAAACCCTGACCCGTTTGTACTGGTATCTAATGAGTTGTAGAGTCGATCTGGTCGCCCAACTAGACACGCGTGTTTCTTTAGCTCAAAGGGTGCCAGTTGTTCCTGCACATTGAAACACACCATATTGGCCAGGTCTTGGAATGCCTCGATTGGTGCTCAAGAAATGTTCCACAAAGCGTCGAGGCCATCAGGGCAAGTGATTGGCGAGAATTTGGGGTGATTGGGTCAGAAATTCAAGAATTTCAAGAATCTGGCACACAGGAAAACAAAACCTAGACGCAACATTAAAAAACATACATTTTTGGTTCAGAACGCTTATGCGATTGGGAGAGATTTTTGTGCGATTTGTTGAGAATTCATGCGATTTGGAGAACACACTCAAAAATAGCAATTTGCCGCCGCTGCACCACCAAATCCATACAGAATCTTGCACTTCAGTGTTTCTGATTCCTCCTGCTCCTGCAGTGTCAGATCATCAAGCTGTTCCTTCCTAGTTTGACTGGCAATGGCAAAAGCCAAGGCTAAACAACCGCAGGCTGCAGTCCAGGTGCGCAAGTCTGCTCTCAAAAAGCCAGGGGGTGAACCAAAGCCAGAGAAGCGGGTAAAGATTGATCCTGCAATCAAGATCATGAAAGGATCAGAAAAGAAAGGCACAAAGAGCAACGATGGTCACAAGGATGACAAGAAAAGAAAGGCAGACAAGATCAAGGCTGATGTTCTGAAGGTTGCGGAAGAAGCGAACCGCCAGAAAGCGAAGACTGCCAAAGGTTCCAAGAAGGTGTCTGATGGCAATACCAAGACAGAGGACAAGAAGAAGGCAAAGGAAAAGGCCATGGCAGAAGAGCAGCAGACCAAACACAAGGATCCCCAGGAGCCACAGGAGACAAAGGAGAAGAAGCCCAAGAAGGAAGAAGCGAAGAAGGAGGTCTCCAAGAGCACCAAGGAGGAGAAGATGGCCCACAAGAAGAAGGACTCTGATAAGAAGACCAAGACAAAGCAGGATGAGACTGCGAAGACCAAAGAGGCAAAGAAGGAGAAGAAGACTGAGGAGAAGAACAAGGATGGCAGCAAGAAACAAAAGAAGGATGATGGGGAGCAGAAGGAAAGGTTGAAAAGGTTACAGGAAGCTGCCTTGCGATGCAGCGTGCCTGCCCCATCAACACCGCCCAGGAAGCGGCACCGAATGAAGTCGCCAGCAAGCAGCCTGGGCACTGTTCAGACTGATGCAAGTTCTGAGCATTACGCAGAGAAGCAGGCCAAGGCTATGGAAGCCCTCGGTGACAAGTTGGAAGATGCTGCTCTACTTGCTAGTGTCAGGGCTGAGTTGGATGCAACTGACATGCTGGGCCTGCTTGATGACCTCAAAGACCATGCAAAAGCACCGTCCACATCGGAGAGCAAGCAGTTGGCAAAGCTCGGCGAGGTTGGGGAGGCTGAGAACAAGCTTTGCAAGAGGGCAGCAAAGCAGCTTGAGCAGGAAAGTGAGGAGGAGGGTGAGGGTGAAGAAAAAGAGAAGGACGCCTCTGATGAAGAGAGCCAGGATGGTAGCGAAGCTTCAGAAGAAGACGAAGAAGTCGAAGCAGAAGCTGATGAGCAAGATGACAAAAGTGAAGAGGAGGAGGAGGAGGAAGAGGAGGAGGAGGGAGAAGGACAGAAGGATGCCGACGAGGCAAAAGAAGATGAAGATGAAGATGAAGAAGATGGTAGCGACAAGGATGAAAACGCAGAAGACTCGGAGGAGGATGAGGCCAGCGATGCTGAAACGGAAGGTACAGCATCAGAAGACGAAGATGACCAGGAGGATGGGGAACAGGAGGAGGAGGATGAAGAGAAAAGGAAGAAGGGAGAGTTGGCTGAGTCTATAGCGGCAACGGCGGACAAGAGTAAAGAGGTTCGCAACAGCAACTGTGCTAATTGGGGTGACATCATTTTCTTTTTCCAATTTTTTGCACTCCAAAGAATTTGGTGTGGGTCTTTAAAAAAACATTTCGCCACCAAGGTACAACGCGCAAGAAGGAATGGGACCGCTTTGATCGACAAACCAAGGGAGGTGCGTTCCCTACTGCGCTCATGCCTTTCCTGCGAAAGAAGAAGGCTGACCTTTTTGGCCTTTGGTTGGACCATGAAGGTGATTGGGACAAAGTTGTGGTCGAAGTGGATCGTTTGCAATCCACTACCAATTTGAACCGGAAGCAGTGGACGGCCATCCAGGCCAAAGACCTACAAAAGTCCATGCTTGAGGACCGCTTCAAGGAACTCATCAAGAAGCGACAGGAGCAGGGGCTGTATTACGCTGATGAGGATTGGCCGGAAGATCCCCAGGACTGTGGTTGAAAAAATTGCGTGTTTAATGTCATCATCTGTGTGAGTGAAGGGGGTTTAGAATCTCCATGTATTATATGTAACCGCCCAATGATTCTGAACAAAAAAAGCACTAACTAGCGTCCATGTAAAGAAATGTCAAGGGTTCAGCCATCCTTTCCAGGAGACATGGTACTATATGCCAACTGGCAGAGTCATCCGCCAAGAGGACTCCACTTCTGAGACCCTCAAAATGTCTGCCACGCGGAAGGTGGGTACTGAACTCCAGGCCGCCCTTACCGGAGAGGACGGTCCTCTTCAAAGCGGCGCCTTGCCCGCCATCCGCGCAGCTTCAGAGCAAGGCGCGAAGCATCTTTATTCAGCCTTAGATGACGAGGGAAAGAGCATTGTGAAGCCAAAGAAAGAGAAGGAGGAGGGAGAAGAAGTTAAGCCAAAGACTCCCTTAGAGTCCTAACCTCAGGGTACCAATGGTTCAGTGGTTATGTGAAAACATTGCCTCAACTGGGATACTATTGAAGGTTTCAATCACTCTGGTGTCCTCAAATGACACTTCGAAGTTTCAACAATGCGACGTCGCCCGCGTTTCGACCTAGTAGTGATGGCCTCCAACCTAGTAGTGATGGCCTCTGACCAAAGCCATGGCCTCCACCCTTAGATGGGTTTATATCTCTCCACTTTGAATCTATAATATGTCGATCGACCTGCTTCATGATCGATCATGAAGTGATGGCCTGCTTCATGTTTTATAAGGATATCTTGACTCTGTTCATGAACATATTTCCTGAATCTGTGTACAGATAAATCTATCTATCTATATATATATATATGGAAAAACATTGAACATCCTCTTCATCCCACACCGCCGGAACAAGAGTCAAGGTCGCAGTTGCCATCCGCCATGCTTCATTGCCGTGCCAAGGTTGGGCCGAGATCTAGTTCCAGCAGTCCTCGATGAGGCAACAAAGGCACGGACGAAAGGTATCCAGCTCAAGGGTATGGAGTTTGCTGACCAGCTATCAAAACAGCTTCTGGATCATGGGTCTGCCATGGAGGGGTGTTACTCTGATTTGAAGAGTGCTGTTGAAGCTACATCGCCCAATCTCGACAAGATCAAAGCGCTGATTTCGAAAGTGCAGATTAAGAGGGACGGGTTCAAGAAAGCTGAGGTTGGGGTCATGGCCCAAAGATTAAAACATACATGGAAAAACATGGACGCTGGAAAGGATGTTTTTGGATTTTGAGTTTAGTTCAGGGTTGCCCAATCCAAGCAAAAGAAGCGTGTTGAGACACCCCAAAGTGTGTGGCTCACCACTGGCAGCCCCTGAGGCATCTGCTGCTGGAATGATGAAGGGAGGTGCCGGTAAGAAGAGTGGCAAATCAGCGAAGGCTAAGGCGAAAGCCAAAAGTGTAGGGTCATGATGGCTACCTGCGTTTTGATTTGGGGTCTAGCCATGCTCACCATGAGCATGCAGGGGGTCAGCGTAGCTGACTCAGAACGTGTCAATCTCAAGACTGCTTGATGCGAACTGGAAAATAAACACCCGTTTTGGCTGCAGATTTAGAAACAGCTACTATCGCTGTGATTTGTTTTTGTTGGAAGAAACAGCTTGGCCAAGTGAGCTTTGCACCCACTGTCACCCTGATCGAGGGCACCTCTTTGCTCACCGTGGCCAGGTGAACCAACCAGAAGGAAACGGCAAAGGCTGGAGTCCGCGAAAAACAACTCTGGCACAACGGTCAACAAGCTGTTGGAATTGATCGGTAGAGGGGAAACCCATGTGACCACTGCGGCTGAAATAGCTCGAGTTATTCAATCTGATTTTGGAGATGCGGTGAAGGGGATTGAACATCTTGCCAGCTGTGGAACCCACGGAAAACATTCCAGCAACACAGAGCGTGATTTTTGGGCCTGGGCAAAGGGCGCCTACAACTTTCATTTACAGCCGTATCAAATCAAAGTCCATCTGCATGTGGCCTAGCTAGATTTAGTTTGATCTCTTTGTGCCCTTTGATCCCAAGTCTAAACTCCACAGGTTCTTTTCCTGCGTCCCAGTCTCCATGGATGCTTCGCTGCCCAAGGTAGATACCGATGAAGATCCTCGGGAGTGCGTGGCCAATGTACTTCTGCCACACGAAGTGTTTGGGGCTTTGTACGCAAGGGATCCGGATCAGGTGCGGTCAAAAACATATGCGAGAGATTCTGTGTATATTTTTTCACGTCCTGGCAAACCGCCATTAATAACTCTGAGTTTTAGATCGTTTAACAAACCCTGCCAGTTTACCTACTTGATGTGTGGAAACAATGATGGCCTGTCCATATTGCGATTCTGGACCCATATCAAATCATTGTCGGAATACAAACATCACCAGGTCCTGCACTCCTTGTCGGACGACAAACTCAAGAAATTGGTCCCATGCTGTGTGCACGGCGATGGCGCCGAGATGTTTCGGGATGATGAGTTTTTCATTATGAACTGGAGCTCAGTTTTTGGGGCTGCAGGGCATGATTGTCTAGTGAGCCGTTACCCAATATCAATCGTGGCAGAACGCCAGATGAAAACGGATGAAGTCTTTCGATTCAATAGCAAATCCTTTTGGCGAGGTTTCCTCCAACACACGTGTTCCCGGAAACTTATTCAGTTGGCCTGTTGAGGCAGCTTTCATTCTTCTATACATTTCGTTAAACTGAGGTTCGTGAGGGCGTCAACAAAACGATCGCTGAAGTGACAGCATGGTCTCTCCACTATGCAGCATTGGGCCGGTACCCAGACCGAGGGTTCTATGGAGAAGCATTTGAGAAGAATAGCTACAGGGAATCTCTATGTGGGAACCGCATAGCAGGCAATTTCAAGTCTCTAGCCATTCGAAAAGCACATGTTTTTTTATATTGGCCACCAAAAGTAAATCACTACTAAGAATGCATTGGAAACCGTTTCTATCTATTTGGGGACTACTAATGTACTGGAAACCGGTTCTATCTATATAGCCTATGTACTATACTCTTTCTCATGTCGGGGTTGTCTGATAGTTTGAATCAAATTGGAGCAAGGCTCACCTATTTCGCATTCAAAGCAGATCTCAAAGCTAGACACCAGTGTCATTTGCTTTCAGACTACTACCTCTGCAAAAAGATGTGTGACCGGTGCAAAGCAATTCAGCCTATGACTTCGGCTCCTCACCCTATGACCTACAAAAACATGGCTGACAACGCACCATACGTGACAACCTGCAAGGATCACGGCGAGTACCTGAGGACTGCTCGTCGAATTACACCGTGGATTGCTGTGGAGGGGTTTCAGTTCGAGACCATTTCATTTGATGTGATGCACCTTATCTTTTTGGGTGTTGCAAGAAACCATGTCCCCTCGGTCCTCAAATTGTTGAAAACTTTTGGCTACCACTATTCCCCAGCAGAGAGCGACGAGAAGTTCCTACAGCGGGTGAGCTTGGAGATGAAGCAGGATTGTAAGGATCACGGGTTTCCTGTTCAAATTCTATCGCCTAGTTTTTTGTGTGTTTGGAACCTTTGCGCACTAGTTTTGTTTTTGGCACGGTCGCCAACCTGAGATCCCAGGTTGTACCTTCCTAGGCGCCTCTTGTCAGTTTCCAACACCAATTCTTTCGGCCAAGATGACTACTGCGAGCTTTCGTCTCGCTTCAAAGCTCAGCACGTAAAGTTGATGGTCTGGTGGGTCGCCGGAAAGGTTCAAGATGTTACGAAGCGTTCTGACACTCACTGCATAGAATAAATTTTCATGATTTGTTCAACTGAACCTCTATAGAGCGTTTTGCATTACCGCAAGCGCCTAAAACCGACATCTGAGGAAGACCCGATCATTGTCTTGCTCCAGCTTTGTACTTGGTCGTTGACCAGGGCCATTGAAATTATGGATGGTGGCGGCCTCCTTCTGACCACTACTGAAGCAGAGGTGTCATGGTGACAGAAATTGAGCCCCCTTTTTGATGGATATCCAATTGGAGGGGGTGGTTTTTGGGTCCTTTGAGATGTTTGATGGGGTACCTCTGTAGTATTGCGCAGTCTCTACCGCGCGCCCACGCCCAGGAGTTCTCCAGAGTCATGCGCCTACACCTGAAATCTTCGCAAGCTCTTGCAGCCTATTGCTGGCAAGAGCACTTGATGTGTTTCAAATTGAGACCGAAGCATCATTGTTTGTACCACGTAGCAGTGGACACTGCGACCACCAGGTTGAACCCAAACATCTTTGCAGTTTGGCAAGATGAGAAATGGCTTGGGCGTATAAAAAAATAGCAATTCGTTGCCATGGGGCCACAGTCCAGAAACGTGCCATAGAAAGGTATGTGCTGGCTCTTTCACACTACTTGTACAGCAATCAGACAGGCTGATGCTTTGGTGTGGCGATGTTCGAACTAAAGTTGATGGTGCAAATTATGTGTTGGTACCCAGTGCATCTAGCCATGGGGCGCTGCAGGGTTCATGCAGCCAAGCTTCGAAACCGTTCGAAGCCACGTGAGCCAGAAGAAAAGGCAGTGGCAGTAGCAGCCATGGACCGCAGCTTCTGGGAGGCCATCGCTATTAGTTTGCAAGCCATGGCTAGTAGGTTGGAGGCCATCACTACTACTACTTTGCAGGCCATCCCTAGAAGGTTGGAGGCCATCGCTACTACTACTTTGCAGGCCATCCCTAGTAGGTTGGAGGCAATCGCAAGCAGGGTGTGTGTGTGTGACTGTGCACCTCATCCCTTTTCAAGGTCACCGGTTGACAATGTATACATACATACCCACTTGTACGTGTATACAAGTATATATGTACATATATTATGTAAATTGAAGAGAGTGTTGGAAAACATGTGTTTGAAAAGAGGTTCCTCACTTTGCCCCACGCTTGGTCACAAAAAAATGCAAACTGCCCTTGGCTCAGCCCTAACGACACCAAACACGACGCTGTCCCATGTTTCAAAGCTACATATTCCATATTAGCCTCGACCTTTTAAAGGCCGCTTGCTTTTTGAATCTTCAAAACTGCGGGAGAACTTGAAACGGTTTCGTTTGGATATTGGTGCCGTTTGGTGTTCAGCGCCTCTGTGCGCGCACCTGTGTCGCCTGACCTCCAACTGCTTCGTTTGCGAAACGTTGTCGTTTTGACTGCTTGTATAGGACACTCTTGTACATACACTCTTGTAGGACACTCTCGCACAGACTTGTGGAAAAATAAAAATAATTCCTTTCCCGACACTCTTAACAAAACATTCATCTATGACATTTCTTCGAGCCAACATGTTCTTTTTCAAAGAGTGGCTCTAACCACAAACGACAACGCTGCTTCATACGACAACGTCTGTTGTCGTTTGTTGGAAACATTGTCCTTTGTGCAACGTTGGATCCTCTAAGAACATGTTGGAACATGTTATGAGTAGCGATGGGTTTGTGCATAGCTGAACTCGATCTGAAGACCCAGATGATTATTTCTCCTCTTGATCTTGTTGGGGTCCGGGATCGCGACGTGGTTCTATTAGAACTATCCTCCAAGTTGACAGATGTTCAAAAGCTAAATCTATTTCTGGCCGAACATCACAGTCCTGCTGGCTGGACATCCCAAACCTAGTACGAGGAGCCACGTGACAAATCTTGTTTACCACATGTTTAATCCTCATGCGCCAGAACCAAAGCCTGAGAAAATAGCACTAGAAAATAGCACTAGAACCAAAGACTGCTGGCAAAGAGTTGAGGTCTTGGGCCTCCGGTTTCGAAGCACCACCACAGCCCCAGTGCGGCGCCCTGGCAATCAAGCCGTGGATGGTGAAACTGGTTGGGACAAGCTGCCACCGACGGTGGACGGTGAAAGTGATTTCAATATATGTCCGAATGTTTCAACTGAAACCAAACTCCAGCCTTACACCGGCAGCTGGGGTACGCGAGAAAAGGTTTGAGATAAACAGGGCATGGGCGAGCGCAGTGATTTCCAAGTTGCAACTCAAAAAGAAAAGTCCTTGATTGGACCATGAGAATGTTCTCATATGTTCTCATTGAAAGCCATGGTGAGTTCTCACAATGCCAATGGGCCAAACGCCAACTGTGTTTGCAAGGCCACTCACTGTGGACCATCAACACGCCCACCCTACCATGAACTGCGCTTCGAATGATCAGGGCTCCACACGTCGAACGTGGAATCACCGGCCTGCATAGAGGAGAGAGAGATGGGGCAAAGCCACACAACATACAGTATTCCACCTCAAGAAAACCTAGCCTTGGAAGTAGACAAGTTCTTGAGCCCTAGTAACACCTCAGGCCCACAATAAAGGCAACTGCTCTGCCTTCCGGTGCTGAGGTGGCTCTCTCCATGCCAAAACCTTTGGCAGCATCGCGTTGGCGGAGGGTTGGCGGTGGGTGGCTCTCATGCTCAAAACAAATCTTCAAACATATTCTTCAATTTTTTTATCTGACTGTTGCAGGAACCTGGGTCCCTGGCATTTTTTGGATGATGTCCACTTGAGCCACCCAGCCCGGTGCCGGCCAGCGGTTGAAACAATAACGTATGTATCTATCAACATCTAACCCAACACACCCACAACCCTTTAAGTTCTTTAAGAGACAGATAAGGTACTAGATCTGAATCCCTGAAAGAATATAGGGCGCACGTGAAACAAAGTTGGGTTATGTAATCACTTAGGTTCAATAATGTTTCCGCGCGTTTCGATGCACACAGCTGCTTGCCCATTAAGAAAAGCCGCTTGCGCAAGCAAGGTAGCTGGTTTGTTGGCTATGTTCCACTGGTGCTAGTCCTGCTAGCGTGCATTGATTTGAGCTATTAACCAAGCCCCTGGTTGCGGAGCAAACCCCCAGGTGTGAGGGATCAAGACTTTGTGAAAACATAGATGTTGTAGGTCTCGTTTGTCTCACCTGTTTCACTTGCTGCTTGTGCTACACTTGATGATCCCATGATGATCATCATTGCCAATCCTCTTCGGACTTCAGCCTTGGTCAATGCATTGCGACGTGCATTGTCACGTCGTTCTTTTGGACTTTTCTTCTTGGCCGCAGTGAAGCTTTGGTCGGACTGGAGGGTGAACATGTGTGTTCTCATGCGGTCTGCCATGAGCTGCCGTGAAGCCACCTTTGTAAGGCCGTCGGCCAGTTGAAACTCACTGGACATCCACTTCAGGAGACATCCTGTTGTGGTCATCTTCTCCTTCATCACCAGGGCCTCAATCTGGGTTCGTTTGTCCCCAGTCAACTGTGGTGCTTCACTTTTGAGGCAATCGTATAAGGCTTTGGCGTCGACCACAAGGGCACATGGTAGCCGACCAGTCTTCTCGTCCACATTCGAGGTGGAGAATGAGCTGTTGACACATCACTTCCAAAACAACTGAATGTACTCGAGGGAGTCCATGGCTGCACTGCAAGCTTGAGACTCGGAGTTCAGACTGCTTCTGCTGATTCGTGGCAATTCATATGATCTCCAGTCCAGGATGACATACTTGAAGTCGCCACTCTTGCGCAGCACGTCCTTGTGGGAAAGCAGGATGAAGTATCCTCCTTGGCTCAAGTGATCGGGGCGAACACCCCATGCAGCAACGCTAACCGCTGTCAAACATAGTTCATTCAACTCGCCCAATCTTGTGAACTGCAATGAAGCGTCCTTGTTGTTCTTTGCGAACCTGAGTGCTTTGTTTGCTGCTTGTGCGATGGACTCTGTTGCACCATTGATGCTTCCACATAGTAGGGAAATTGAAGCACTCAAATGCGGCATTGACTGTGTTGATGGCCATTGAAGTTGGTGTCGTTGTCAAGGGTTTCACTCCAGGGATGTAGTCCTCTTGGTGCAACTGCCATGTTTGTTCACCAATCTTCTTTAGCTTGCATCCGCAAAACTCAAGTTGTTTGTCCTCTTTCTCTTCACTCCAGTGCTTGAAGTCGAAGGTCTTGCGAAGATCACTTTTGACCTTTTGGTACATTGATGAGCTTGGATCTCCAGCGCCCAGCATGTCATCAACGTGGAGGCCACTTAGACATACCAAGCGACCATCTTCATCAAACAACCGGAAAAGGCAGCATTCTAGAGGATGCGGTGCAAATCCCAACTGCTGGAGCTTCCTGGTTGCGACTTTGTACCATTCACGAGGTGCGTCAGCTTGACCATATAGTGGCTTCTTCAATCTCGTCAAAGCTCTACTTTCCAGGTTCAACATCTTGCAAGCGTCATGGGGAAGCTTTGCCCAAAGTTGGCGAGACTGTGGCAACGTCACTCACCCATTTTTCCCAGTTTTCATTGCACGCGATGGCCAACAGGGTCTGTCGAGCTGTTCTGCACAAAGTGGGGCTGCTGGTCTCCAGTTTGCCTTCTAGGAGGTCTGGGTCGTTGAACCCTTGAAGGACTAGACGTGCCTTCGCACGTTGTTCACCTCCTGCGCCAGTGCGCCAAGCGAGAACCCATCTTGCTCGAAAGATGCGGTCTGGAGCCACTTTGTGTCTGTGTGGATGTAGTTCCACCTCCCAAACACCATTCTCGAAGATCGAACTGAGTTCACTCTTCTTTCCTTCCACAAAGGCGAGTCGATCTTCCCAGGAGAGCTTCTTCTCGTCAACA